CCTCATGCCTTTCTGAGGATAGGTCCAGTTTTCAAAAAAATTATCTACTTTATTGCCTGCCAGACAGACCTACAGCATTATAACTGATACCAGTACTAATGCATGCTATTCTCATAGCCACTAGGGAAAGAAGCATAAGATTGTTGCTCTTGGAACATTAAAGTTAAACATTAGTCTTTGCCCACAGGTAATAGTATGTGCTCAATAAATGTTTGTGGAATAAAAAAGGAATCCATTTCAGCCAGTTGACTACAAATAAATGAACCATACATTTTTCAAAGCTCTAACAAACTTAGCCTCACATAATCCTGCAAGAAAATTTATTTCAAAGAGTAAGTATTGTCAACTGAGCAAGAAACAACACAAAGAGATATTCCCTCCAAGTTATAAAACCCATGGACACTCAGGATTCCCTAAGCAACAAGGCCATTTTGCTTTTCCCATCTATCCATTCCGGACATCTATTTCTGCTTCTCAGAAATTAAGACTTACTGATTAAGACTTTAGAACTCCTCATCCATTATTCTTTCACTCTCTTAAGATAGTTGAGTTCTAATGAATAAACTATTAAATAATTCAGATTGTCTTAGAAATGGTAATCAGGATGCTGTTAAAATATATTATTCCAAAACCAATATCACCTTGAAATGTGAACAGTTTAATAAAATCAAGTAGTAGTAATCCAAAGTAATGGCAGTAGAAATCAACATAAAAGTCAAGATAAAAATAGACTAACACTGCTAGACTTTCACTACACTAGCACTAGCTGATGATAGAGCTCTCTAACACTTCACAAGGCTCAAACTGTCAGCCATAAATGTTTTAAAGTAAAATGTAGCCTCGGAATAACATATACCAATTTCTTTTTAACAGATGGCAAACTAGACTTTAAAAAAAAAAAACACAAAAATTTTATTTTATGTGTAGTTGAAATGGAAGACATAGTTCCAAAGACTATCATGACAAACCTAGCATCAATAGAGAAGACAAAAACCTACCATTCTCTAGTCATGGTGCAGCTTCTATTGAGTAGTTTCAGACTTTTTAAATATTCCATATTCCCTTCATTCTGCAAATAGTTACTAAGCAAAGACAGTGAGCCCAAGACTGCCGTGCTACAGAAAGGAGAACAATCAACAAGAAGGTGAACAAGAAATATTTTTGCCAGAAACATTTATTAACATCATCATTATTAGGGTAAAAGCAAGCAAATACCCCAAGTCCAGAAAATACTAAAGATGTAAAGGAGTTCTGAGTAAGGTCCCTTCTTCACACCCAAACATGAACAACAGCTTTTACTCTTTCAGCTTGTCAACTCCACCCAGCTCTGAAATCTGAGAAGAGCAACTCCATTATTTATAAGATCTCAACACACTATTTTTTCCCCCCTTTTTGGTGCTGGGGATCAAACCCAGAGCCTCATGAAAGCTACACATGGGCTCTACCACTGAGCTATATCCTCAGGCCTCAGCCCACAATTTCTTAAGTAAGCCCTGACACTACCTTTAATTCCCAGACCTTTACCCTGGAGTCCTGGGAACTTCCTTGGGTGTTAAGATGCATAATGAGACAAGACACAGCCCCAGTTGGGTAGAATGCATTTTCCAGACTGGGTAACAACGGAACTGAGACTGAATTAATTAACTAGCACCTGGACCTTTGAGAAGACACACATACACACAGTGATACTACAACCTGAAAATTAAAATTCTCTAACAATTTATTTTTAGAATCCTTGCTAGGAAGCAGGAAAAATTAAAATGCTTGCCTTTTTTATTTCAAGGGAAAAAGAAGACAAATATTTTATTATTTCCTTTATTATTTATTTATTCATTTAATTTATTTACTTATTTTGCAGTGCTGGGGATGGAACCCAGGGCTTCAAGTACTGAACTATATACCTGCAGCCCTGAGAAGACAAATTAGCTTAAAGCAGTTTGCCAAAGACTCTCTTTTCAAAAACATGGAGGTGGGTGGGGATAAGAGGGCGGTTGATTGCAACCATTGATTCTAATCATTGAAGCTATGTCCCTGATCAGTTTTTTGTTTAGAGTCAACCAAATTAACATTAAAACCACAGCCAAGTTGCTCAGAGAAGGTGACAATGATCAAAAGCCCCCGTCTGCAATGTGTCTGCCCTGTCCTACTCACAGGACAATCTGACAATCCAAGTGTGAATGGTGGGTGTCTTCTGGAGCAGTGGATTTCTATGGAGGTTTTCTACAACTGGTAGAAAGCAGGCTACAAGAGTGCCCAGGTCTTCCATCTATGTCTCTATACAAGAGGCTCTCAGGAGAGTACCCTTCTGGAGTTTGGACTAGGTCATTTGTTCTCAAAGTATGGTCCCTGGACCAACAACATCACAATCACCTGGAAACTTGTTAGAAATTAAAATGACAAGAGTCCTAACCCAAATCCACTGAATTAAACAAAAAACTGGAAGAGGGGTCCAACAATGTTTTAACCTTCAATTCATTTTGGTTTATGGTCCTTTGAGAACCTCTGGTAAATCTCTATAGCCTTTTCAAGCCACCAAAATCCTACTGTGAGTAGATCAACACTCATCTAGAACTAGGGTTCCATCTGATTAAACTCATCTAATCATGCCTACCATCAATAAAACCAGCTACATTTTCATAAATTTATGTTAGCCAGCTTTTCCCGATTAAGCAGACAATGTGAAAAAATATCTGATGTCATTTTAACTAAAAGTGGTGATCTCCAGATAAAATCTTGGTTCCCTTCACATTTACAATGTAGAAACTCATTCTAGCTGTCATGCAAAACAAATCTATGTTTCTATGACAGTTAAGGTGCAGGAACTGGCATCTCTTTCCCAAGACCCAGCTGCCACATTCGGCTTCTCTTTGCCATCCCTTCCCACCCAGAACTCACTTAAGAGTGCCACCAGGAAACCTCAACAGATGGGGCGTTTTAGGGTTCCCACCCACAGGAAATATTAACTAACCAGAAGGCATGAAGTCTCACACACAGAGAACTCTAACATCATACAGATCTGGTTCCAAAATCTGGTTCAATGAAGTCCATGTCAGCAGCTAACATGGAAAACAGGACCCAAAATCCACAGCACTCAAAGCTGAAGGTGTTAAGATTACACAGATACTTCAACTTTCCTGAGGTGGTCACAAAGGAGGAGAAAAATAATCCTTTGAAATGACATAAAACTGGGATGGCTGTCAGAGGCCAAAAAAGAAAGCTGTTAAAAAACAGCAGGGGTCAAGTTTAATAGCCAGCCAGGCTCCTCAAGAAGCCTCCTTTCCCAAACTCCTCCCTTCCTCCCTCCCTCCCTCCCTGCTCTACTTCCTTCACACTCCAAGTCAGCCTGACTTTGTCATTCAAACAAACGCTCTTATCTCTTCACACCACAATACCAGAAGCGGTTCCTCCTAGCCAAATAAACATTGTAAAAACGTTTTTTTTAAGAATAAAGTAAAAATGTCCCTAAATTTCTCTCAATTTTGTCCAGAAAATAACAGAGAAAACCAAAACAGCACAGAACTATTTTTCCTGCTCCAGTACACATAAAATTGCTTTGAGAACTCAAAAAGCATTTATTTTACAGTATTCAGTAAAAACATGTTAAACTCTTCTGCTCTGCCACCCTAGACCTATACAGAATTTAGTCATGCAAGTGACTAAACCCTGCGGGAAGGTGATTAATGCACCCAGCAATCTATTCCATTTCCAATTTCCCATTTTCAAATATTTCCTGTCAGGATTATATAATTTCTTAAATTATATACCTACTAGCTTTTTTGTCAAAGGCTTTCCAATTAATAATAAAAATTAAGAATGATAGAATCATCAAATACCTTGTTTTTTACAAATCCTTCAGAGTACTTGTCACATCTTCAGAATTTTCAACACTTTGGATTGAATTAAGTAACCAAATTTACTCAAATGCAAGAACGAATCCTTGCAATACATCAATTTGGACAGTTTCTCTCAGTTTCTACAATTGCTTTCTAATTGTGTTTGATTATCAACCTAAGTGGGATCAGTGGGGAAAAGGGGGGGGGGGGGCAGGCCTATGTATCACAATCAAAATAAATAATTCCTCTGCCACAAAGGAATACTGAAATGCCTCCCAGGCAAACCAACAACAACAAAAAAACAAAACCACATATTTTAAGGCAAGATATGTTAATATAGCTTTAAAGAAACCTGTAGCCTCTAATTTCTTTTGGCTTTGTTAGGGGAATAAATCCCTTTTGTTTGAAGACTCACCACACTTCAACTATACTTAAAACCTAAGATGTATCAAGTATTCTAAAATACATAGACACTTTCTTTTATTCTGTAGAGGCTATTTTACAGATTAAAGACCTCCTTAAGAAAAATAAAAATAAAAAATAAAAAAGCTTACACTGCCTCCTACTGTCAGAAGGAAGAATTTATGAGGTCAAATATGGTCCACACACAGCACAGTGCAATAAGATCAAGGGAACAGATCTGTTTCCAAATGAAACTGTTGAAATACTGTCTATGACAGGTTCAGATACAGTGCAAAACACACCACATGGCATGATGTCAGCATGAGAAATCATCCCCAAACGGGCTTTCAACTTGATGCACAACATAAACACAACAGGATGAAGGACCCAAAGTGCCACCCTACTTGGCTGAGGGTGAAGTTCCCAGCTCTAAGTCAGCATTAGCAGTTGGTGCCCCTCCCACCCCCCACCCCCCACACCACTACCCAGAGCAAGCCAATGGCTCCATCTCAGAATACAACCAAGATGCCTCCTCATCTTTTAGTCAGCAGGTATGGCCAGGGCTTCCTAGGCCTGAGGACTTTCTCCACATTTAAGAAGTTGGAAGGAATGTCACACCCAACTTGTCACAGAGATACATCTGTTATCTTCAAAATTTGACAGCTCTGCTTCCTGCCCCTGCCTACCTCAGCCATGATACTGCATTATCACTGATGCTGTACATCACAGAATATGAAACACAGAAACACAAACAATACTTTTGGGTTTGTTTCTTTAAAAATGGCATTTTGTATTAAAAGTCTTAAAATGAAGAGACAATGATTAAACGAGTGGAATTAAAATTACAATTAGAACTTGATACATCATAACAGTGAAATCTTGCTCTTGCTTCTGAAGGTACACCCTATAACAGAAAATCAAAACATTTAAAAAATAATATGTAAGGGGAGCTAAATACCTGAAAATTGAAAAAAATGAAGGAAAAAAAAAAAAGGGGGGGGGGGGACAACCCATTACAAGACATAGACATTACATTTTAAAGGCTGAAAATAATAAATTCACCGAACAACAGGCCCTTTTGTCCTGGCTCCTTCAGGAAGATTACTGAAAGGAAACTGGTAAGTGGTTTGGGGAATAGCAGATTCTGGTACTGGTGGGAAATTCACCGGTTGGCAGCGGCTGAACAGCTGAGTTTTGAAGGCACTCTGCAGACACAGGGGTGCTGGGGGCCCTGAATCACATTTACAAAGTCTTTGTATTATATTTTTAAAAGCTAGTCATTAAAATCTGTTGCTGCCAACCAAAAGAATTTTTTTTTTTTAAAAAAGCTAAACTTAAAACACACACACACACACCATAGTACACACAAAAATGTGCAGGATCTGTAACATTTTTTTTTCACAGCTGATAAAAAAAAATACTACCATTCTCCCAAGGCTCCCCTTTGATACAGTAGGTAAACAAAATAGATTTTTTTTTTCCACAAATATCAGCAGACACTTTCTGGCACCCCACACTGTATTGGCATCAGTGTTAACAGTCCCAGTTCAGATGTGCAATACTTCAGATTGGATACAATGTAACAAGAATCCAACTTTGCATAGACATCCTCAGAATCACAACCAGTCACGAGGGGTTGCCCTTCCAAGCTGGCAGGAAAGGAACCCGATCTAAATTTCCAGCTACTCCTGGAAAACAAGGAAAAAACAAGAGTTTCTTCCTCTCCTTCTGCTCCTTCATATGGGTTTCCCGGACTGGACTGGACTTCCATGTATTTAAAACTCGGAACTAGAAAAGAGTCATTAACAAAAGAGAGAGAGGGACAGAGGGAGAGAAAGAGAGAGAGAAGACCCCCCCTTCCACCTTCTTCCCCTCCACTTCCTCCACCTCCCCACCCCCATTTATTTCCAGGCTGAAACTTTTGCTTGCCGGGTGTCGGGCTGCCAATACAGCACCCTAACGGCCACTTAAACGGGGGAATATGCGTCAACCGAAATCAATGAGAAACGTACATGCTGCAAAGAGCCACATTTCCACCAGGGTCTCGGATGGTCAGGACGGGGCACCCCTCGTACACGGGGCGAAGGCAAGGGATGCGGGCCCCGGAAGCCAGCCGGGCTCCCGGGACACCCCGGCCAATGCAAAGTCGTCTCCAATCTCAAAGCAAGAAAGGAAATCACATTTAGAGAGTCGGATGCGTTTGGCTTTTGTGCGCAGAGCGAGGCCGGCGCCCGGCGGCCGCGGGCGCCTCAGAGGATCACGCAGGCCGAGCAGCAGCCCTCGTCGCCGTTGGGCTGAGCCGCGTAGTTCATCTGCCGCACGATCTCGGCGAAGAGCTCATCCACCGAGGCTTTGTTTTTGGCCGATGTCTCCATGAACGGGCAGCTCCACTCCTCGGCCAGGGCCTTGCCCTCACCGTAAGAGACCTCGCGTTCTCCCTCCAGGTCCACCTTGTTGCCCACCAGGATCATGGGCACGCGCTCGTACCGCTTCACGCGGATGATCTGGTCCCGCATGGGCTTGATGTCCTGGAAGCTCTGCTGGTTCACCAGGCTGTAGACTAGGATGAAGCCCTGGCCGTTCTTGATGTACAGGTCCCGCATGGACGCGAACTGCTCGGTGCCCGCCGTGTCCAGGATCTCCAGCACCGACGGCGACGAGTCCACTTCGATCTCCTTGCGGTAGAAGTCCTCGATGGTCGGGTCGTACTTCTCGATGAAGGAGCCCGTCACGAACTGCACGGTGAGCGCGGACTTGCCCACGCCGCCCGAGCCCAGCACCACCACTTTGTACTCTCTCATGGCTCCGTCGGCGCTCGCACCACGCCTGCCGCGGCCCCGTCGGGGCTGCGCGCCGCTGAAGGCTGGGCTTGGCGACTAGACTTCTCCCCTTCCTCAGCTCCACAGCAAAAACCCACGCGAGCGCGGCCCGGAGCGTAGGGTGTGGAGATCGCGGGCCGGCTCCGGGCCGACCTGAGGCTGCGGCGGCGCGTCCCTGGGGCGCGGGTCCGGGGCCCCGCTGCAGTCCGCGGCGGCGGCGGCGGACCGGAGGACAATGCCGGCAGCTGAGCGAGGCGACGGCTGGAGTTCCTCACCGCGGCAGCCCAGGAGGGCGGGGAGGCGGCGGCACCGGGCTGCAGAGGCGGCTGCTAATTGCGCGTCGGGCCGGGACACGTAGGGCATGAGTCCCCGCGGAACGTGCGCCCACCGCCGAGGCCCATCGCGCTCTCTCCTGCAGCCTCCGTGGGGCGAGGGCTTCCTACTCGCCGCGCGCAGCCCGGCCCTCCCCGCGCGGGCGAGCATGCCCAGTGCGCCGCCGGTCGCCCGCCCGACTTCCGCGCCCGGTTTTCTGCTGGGTCGGGCGGAGGCGGGGTTAGAGGCGGGGCTCTGGATTTGAGTCTCGGGAAGCGGATTCGGGAGCCAAGCGAGTCCAGGAACTAGATAAGTGTGTGCGCTGCGGGAGAAAGGTGTATCTACGTGTGTAAGAGGAGCTGGGAAAGCTCGGACCGGAGGATGGAGGTCGCCTTCTTTTGAGGCTCTGGGGTTGTGCAGAGGGCGGCGGCCCTGCGAGAAGCGTGGAGCGCGGCGGGCCGGATCTGGGATGGGGTGGTTCTTGCTCTGGACTGCCCGTTATCAAAAATCCGAAGATGCTACTCCCAGAGCCCCAGGCCATTGTATGTCTCCGGCAACGGAAGGCAGCGGCGGTAGTGGACGATCCCTACTGCCATTGCGCAATGCTTTCTCAACTGTTCGCAGGAGGAGCGCTCCCCCGCGAAGCCGGCCCTCAATTCCTGCACTGCAGCCCTCCAACAAAGAAAACAGGAGGAATCGGGCCGGAGACTCAGTCCTGACTCAGGATGGGGCAGCCGGTGGCGCCCGGAGCTCCCTTCGGGCAGGGATGGGGCGGGCCCGAGTCCCACCCTCAATCGGTGGGTCCCACCCACCTACCCACACTGCAGTGGCCAAAACCCGGAAAAACGGGCCCCATCCCAATCCCGAAGCCTGGCGGCACCCGCAGTTTAGGGCATGCTCAGTCGGCAGAGCTGGTCCTTGGGCTTGGAAGTAGGAAGCTTTTGCACCGCACGCCCACACTCCAGCTCAAATTACCTCTCCTGGACTCCGCATTCATTGGTCCCAGGGCGCGAGTCTCACACCCTCCAGTCTTCTGCCATTGGCCACCGCCAAGGTTTTATCAGTTTGGGTTGCTTCATTGGCTGAAAAGTAGCCTCCCTTCGCGATTGGTTATTTATAGAGATTGAGTTGGGAGGCGGAGGCACAGCTGTTCTTTCTCCGCTACTCCCCTGCCCCCTTCCTCCCACTTTCCCAACCCAGTCGTTTTGCAGTGATGAGTGAAAAAATAAGAATTTAGGCGGAGAGCTCAGAACTAAATATAGTCCTTTGTTGGTGTTTTAGAGGGAGTCTGACTCTCGGTGCCCAGTCACGACTGTCCCCTGTAAGGAGCTGATAGGGCTGATTACAATTCTTGGTCTGCAGGAAACAGCAAAGTTTCCAAGTTTTTCTGTAGGGAGGGGGGAGGGTGTTAGGATGAGAAATGAGCCACTTGGAACTCGTTTCACCCGGAGAGGCGCGGGGAATGTCCAGGCTTGCTTGTTCGGAAACGTCTGTGCTATTGGGCAGGCAGTCGCTAGACTTGGCTCGGCTCGCTTTCCCTGGAGGCGCGAGGAAGATGCCCAGACTTGTTCTGAGTATCTCTCATCCTTGCAAGGAGAGGTGTCAAGACCTGTCTGCAAACATCACTGGCTGGTAGCGTGAGCCCCAGGGCGAAGGGGATGGGGAAGGACAACCCTGACCCGGCATCCTGCCTCTCTCATCCTTTGCCATTGCTCTCTGGTTTAACCGTCTGCACAGGAAGGATGAGCCAGGAGGGGTGCTGACGCTTGGTTTCAGTTCCTAGTCCCGCCATGACTCACGGCCACGTTAGCAAGTTAACCTTCTTCAAACCCGGGCTCCAGTGCGAGTCCGCAGCAGGAAGTCCTCTGGCAAACTCTGGGCACTGGGCGGAATAAGGGCAGCAGCCTACGCCTGGGGTGCCGTGGCTGGCGCTCCCGCCGCGTCCAGAGCCTTCTATTTAGTGGAGAGAGGGCTTTCACCTTTGACTGTCAGAGTACTTGCATATAATTATGCTTATATAAGTCTCCAGAAAAATCTCTGAAACAAATTCTTCTAATATAGCTGGATAGAATCCTGCCAGTCTTTGCCCAATGTTGAATATCTGCCTATTATTGTACCCCTTTTAAAGAAGAAACCTAGTCCATGAGATGTTGGGTAACTTGCTAGAGATTTCACAGCGGAATGTAGCAAAGCTTAGATTCCAACGGAAGCTGCAGAGTCTGGTCTAACCACTAGACAGCACTGCCTTCTCACAAGAAAATTCCTAGTTTTTGCTCTTTCTTAGGTTAGGTTGAATTTAGATTCAATGTGAACAAACTTTCTCCCCACCCCTTGGTGCGAGGGATCAAGTCCACATCACCACCGTGCCAGGTAAGCACTCTTCTGCTGAGCTACATCCAGGGCCTTCAAACTGGCTTTTAAAAAGCCAGGCAAGAGGAACCTCTGTCCATGCCACATTCCACCTCTCCTCTGGCAGTGCCCCCACCCACAGGGTCAAGCTAATGATCCATCTGGCTGCAGAACCCTTTTCTAGACCAGGCTCCAGCTAGTCAGAACACTTGAGTGCCCTGTCCACATGGTGCCAAAACCACTTCCAGCATCTGTTTGGGATTCTGGGCAATGACTATTCAATTGAGTGTGTACTTGGGCCCTTTTCATGTGGTAGAGTATTGGTGGGGTCAGTTTTATCTTCCCTGGCACTTTCCAGCCCTTGGTGGGTTCCAAGAATTCCTAATTGACACTTGGTTATCCAGGTCCTTGCAAAGAGGTATTGGTTAAGATATTTTAGCACTTTGTTGTCTTGAGTGGTAAGTTAAATCCTTCAATTAGTGCTATGTGGGTTTATATGTGTACTGTTGCCCACAGAGGTGGTTCTTAGTCTGATGTAGAAGAAATGGTTTGTCCTTACAGGTGTGGTGTCTAATCTCAAGGATTAGATCTGGTTATCACCTGGGGCCTTGTGCAAGTCCCTGACCTTCTTGACCTGAGTTTCTTTATCTGTAAAATGATGACAGTAAAATGCGCCCCACCCATCTAGCTGCACAAGGAGCCTTGCAGAGGACCTAGTTACTAAAGCCTTCGTTTTTTCAGCAAGAGAGCTGAGCAGAATCAGAGCTCTGGTGTTCTGGCTGCACTTTCTATGGTGCCAGGCATTCCATAGATAAGACCTAACAGGTGGTGGATGGAAGTGTGCTTTTAAAGCTGTAGCACTTCATACAGGATCTAGCTACTGCCCACACAGCTTGATAGTCCCACCTGGAAGAGGCCATCCACAGGTACCCTTGTGGATGGATGATGGCTTCTTAAGTACCAGAAAAATGGCTCAGCTTGAATACTTTCTATTAGGTATTCTTCGCTAGCAATTTTTTAATATACTCAGATTTTTTCCCACAGAAAGATTTATATTGGGGTATTGAGATTCAAAATGGAGGGAAGAAAATTGCTATTGTACAAATTTTAAGGTTGGTTGCTCTCTCCTATGAAGTGCATTAAGATGTTTTTGATACTCCCACTTATAGCAGGAATCATTATCCTAGGGCCATTATAATTTACATACCTAAGTCTGGTATTCCAAACACCCTGTGAATTACTTGAGGTCAGGGTCCATGTCTGGTTTCCCATTAGAGCCTCCTCTGTCTCTCATGATTTTAGTACAGTAAACTGAGTATGCAACCCCCACCCTTCCTTAGCCCTTCCTTTGGGGATGGTTATTTGGTGCCTTTTCCCTTTACTTCCTCTTGTTGTTTTTCGATTTGAAACCTGCACCTAGCCCATGCCCAATCCTCTTGAAGGCAGAAGATGACACTCTTAGCAACTACTGTGTGACCCAATCACTGTACCCCAAACAGGCAGCTTGTAGACCAGAGACCCTATTAGATTTAGGCAGCACAGCACAGGGCTATAAAAACCTTCTCCTGCCATCCACCCCCTCCTCTTTTTCTCTGGTAGATCAGACACTGTCACAATAGCAATAAAGATATCTTGGTCACTTTGAGTGTCATGGTCACTTTCCTTTCATGAGTATTGATGAATATGTGAATGGTATTTTATTCCTTTTCTGAGCTACATTTTGGTAAAGGTAATATCAGCCTCTGGTGAGACACAACATTTCCAAGATCCAAACAAAAATGTCTGCTCCATTTGGAGTCTCCCTGAGCCATAAAGATGCTGAAGTAATGAAAGCACACTAAGTTGGATAGAAACACTAAATTCATTCTCTCTTGGGGAAAGACACCAAAGCATCCTATGGATGAATGTTTTCTATGAAGAAGACTTAACATTTACAGTTACCATGTAAAGTATTTCTGGAAAATAACCTAAAAGTAATATCTACCAGATAAGGACAACTTACCCTTTGAAGGATGCAGAAACAGATCCCATCCTTGACCTTTGTTCTCAAGAGGTATTGCTGAGCTCTGCCTAAGTTGCTGAGTTTGGGCCTTCCAAGAATAAGGAAGTTTGTTAAAATGTAAATCTTTTAACTCCTCAAGAAAAGAAGTACTAGAGCCGGGCACAGTAGTGCTTGTAATCTCAGCGGTTTAGGAGGCTGACACAGGAATATCGTAAGTTTGAGGCCCGCTTTAGCAATTTAGCAAGGGTCTAAGCCACTTACTGAGAGCCTGTCTCAAAAAATAAAAAGGTCTGGGGTTGTGGCACAATGGTTAAGCATCCCTGGGTTCAGTCCCTGGTACAGAAGAAGGAGGAGGAGGAAGAGAAGAAGACGAAATGGTACTCACCTGTCCTTCTAATTTATACATAAGAAAGTAGAAGTTGATTTCATGATGTTCATATGCTATAAGTGAACAAATAACTCTAGAGAAATTCTTCTAATTTTGAAAATACCAAGCACAAGTTTATGGTAACCATGTATCCTTATTTTAAAGTAGCAGTATAAGCATAAGATAAACTGCCTTACAGAGTGGTCAGTGAATATTTGTTAAGTTATGTCATAACATGGCTGATTGGTCCTTTTCAAATAACCTCTAGCAATAACTCTAAAAATATTTTATAAGTAGAACAAATCATCGTCATTGTCTCATACTGTCCATAGAGTTTAGGTGACACTTTGGGTAGCCAACACATCACATACACACTGTTTCATGCCACTTCATGCTA